GACAGAAACCATTACCCACATGACTGCAAATCCTGTGCCACCCCTTTCCCCACTGAAAGAGCTGGGACAGCTGGAATGTGGCCTGTGGTGAAAGTAAGGGGCCTTGAGACATGGTGGGGCAAAGAGAGGTGTCTGGCTTAATTGGAGTCTGGAAAAGGTGGAGGAAAGGGAGGAAGGGAAGACTTATGTGGTTTTTAATTATACAACTGTGATGTTTGCACTAGTTGGCAATAAATGAAACTAAGTAAAAAAAAATCCCCAAGTTGAGACTGTTTTGCTAGCAACAAATGGCTGTGCATAGGCCGTGCATGGATTACAAGGAGTGTCACAAAAGCTGGCACACTTGGCAGACCTGCACACACCAGCCAGCAAGAACTGCTGAGGGACTTGCAGCTTGGACACCCCTCCCAGAGTTACGACCCAAAACCAACCCTTTCTCAGGAAGGAAATTGAAGGCACAGCGACAGGGACGCTCAGCAGCTGGGATACGTGTGCCCAGATGCTGTCAGCAGAGACTGTGTCTCTCACTAGCCATTGAATGGTCTTTAAAAGGGGACAACTATTTGCTTTAGGCATTTTTGCCCAGGGTCCAATCTGCAGTGTGCCCCGTAACACCCGGCCAGCTGAAGCCTGCTGCTGGCATGGAGGGATGTGCACGGTGGGAGGGGATCCTGGCAGGGTGGATGGGGTGAAGCACATGTGATGGTCCTCTGTCAGCCCAGCAACACCCAAGTGGTGATGAAGTGGTCAGGCTGTACCAGCGTGAGAAAATCTTATAAGTGGAGCATTTAATAAATGGCACGATTTGGGGGCAGGTCTTCCAGGCTGTCATTTGGGATACAGAAAAAGTAAGTAGCAGCCAGCTGCTGATGCTAGTCTGTCTCTGTGGCCCAAATCCCACCCTACAGTTAGTATAAAGTGCCAAAACCCAGCTTAACAGTAGCTGGGAATCATTGTGTGACCACAGTAGAACTGCAGTGTTTATACACAAAACCTGTGAAATCTCAAAAAGGTTAACAAAAGCAAATGGGCTAAAACTGAACAACACTGTGTGCAGTCTCTGTTCCTCCTTGCCTTACTTCTTTCCTCCCTTAAAAGAAACTTAAAAATTGCCTTTCAGAAAGAAATGCCAGCATTTCAGAAATTTCTTTTCAGAAATTGCCAGCTCTCATCCATGTTCCTCATGGAAGGACATAAAAATAGACCAATATATCAATGACACAAAAAGTAATGTAACCAAGTACACAGATTTCATACAAAATTAAATGGGATCAACTTTACATATTCATTACAAAAACAATTACTCTCATGGCTTTCAACTCCCTGCTACAGCCATCTCACCTTCCCTGTCAATTTTAACTGTTTGTTGGAGGCCCAGTTTCTCCAGCCAAAGTGTGTAATTTTGAGAAGATGAAGTGACAAGCAGTCTGATCCTGCAGGGAGATGAGCACACTGAGCTTCTCACTGCTTGAATAAAACACTATGAGTGCTCAGGCTCTTTTAAAGACAGAACAGGTTATTGGAGTCACTGATACAGACTCACAGCTGGGCTTTTTAAATGCATAGAAAGAAACCCCACTGACTTGACCTGTTTGGGGTATCACACATTTAAAATGCTTACTCAGAACCCTTTTGGTCCAAGTTTGCCATCAGCTAAACTAGTAAGTGTCTATAAACTTCCAGTAACTTTTCCTGTAAGAGTAATTCAAAGCAAAGCCTTGCCCCATTTCAAATCATCCCTTCAATGCACAACACATGTTCAGTGCTGGATAATTAACAGTTGCTATTTTTAAACCACCATGGCACTCATCATACTGACACAGGCCAATCAAGACCAAGACCAAGGCTGATATGGGTAGCCAGTTCTGTATCCTGGCTGCAATGTGAATGAGATGAGAATCATCTCCTTCACAGTTAACAGCCAAGGCTTACAGGTTCTACTGTTTGGACCTATTATAACTAACAGTAGACCAGAGACTCCACCTATTAATGGCACGAAAAAGCAGTATCTCAACAGGGACTAAGAATTTGAGATTGTGCATCTGCTCCCTTGTTGCTGAGAAAGTTTCAGAACTCGATCCCCTGGGGACTCTAAAATCAGGATACAAATCCAAATACAGCTATGGATCAAACAGAATCAGTGTAGTATTGCCACAAGGAATTGAAAGCATCTATCTAGACTGAGCCAAATACAGCATTTTCTGTACATCCTTTACTCCTATGAGACAAAATAGTTGTGCTGTATCTCATTTTTAAGGGGGCTAGTGTCAATTAATTCTCCTGCTGGTGATAAATTTTGTTGCCAGATCACACATACCCCTCCCTAGGCGAAGCAGAATTTGACAGCTGTCATAGTCCTTTGGCCCATTGGTAGAGCAAGCTTTCTCAAACTTCTCCTGCAACTTTCACCAGCTTTGTGGTGGTCAGGCCCTAAATGACCATGCTGCACTGGGATCCATATAGCGTGCTTGGGCTGCTCTGTGATCAGTCAGGGAGCTGCCATTAACTGCATGCCTGACCAGCAACAGGCCTTTTCCACACTCCAGCACAGGGTAGCAAAGGACTGTAAGTTACCATACTTCAGATAAAAGGTTGCCAGCTCCTGTGTGTAAATAGCAGCTGCCACTTTTAAATTATGAGATAATTACTAGTGCTGTCCACTCAGACTATTTGTTCAGAGGCTTTGATGACAAGTAGATTGGGGGACAAAAAAAAGCCCCCAAACAACTGTACAGTGCTTCTGGGAACTGTGTATGAGCCCAGAATGAATCAAAGCTCAGAGGCATGTGGCGCATCTTTCTGGTACATCACTTTGTACTGTCTCAGATGCTGATGGATTCTTGTGTAGCTCTGTCTTCTGCAAATAAACTGTTGTGCTTGAAAACAATAGCACACTGAACCTGCAGTGGCAAAATAGCCTTGCAGGTCAACCGGTGGAAAGCCAAACACATGGGTTACTCCCCTAAGCAATCAACTGGCTGTCCTCAGTGTAGCCATATATCCTGCAGATAGTATTGCTTTTTTAATTGGTACAGATACAGACCCATCTGTTATTTTAAAAAAAATTAATCCCTTGCACATTGCTCAATACCTTCTGATCTGAGCCCCAGAAAGAGGAACATGGGCTCTGGTAAAGTAGGAAGGGTACAGTCCACTCAAGAAGGACATGTACATCCTCCATAGGCAGAAGGTAAGGGTATCCCTGTCCCCTTCTCATCCCATCAGATGCATAAAAATCCTGGATTTAAATATGTGCCAAGATATATATGTTCTCTTCAAAACAGTTTATACAATTTATACAGTACTCACTGTATAAATTTGCTTATCAAGAAGTATCTTTTTTTTTTTTTTCCCCCTGCAAAAAACAAATGCCCTTGGAACTTTCCAAAACTCATCATAACCTTTTTTTGCCCTTGAAAAAACTCTTAACTATCATCTCTCATTCCTATGTCCAACTGAATGAAAGTTATGTCCCTGCTCATCACAAGGGGAGGAAGTTGAACCAGATGACCTTTAAAGGGCCCTTCTATCCCAAACTCTTCTATGATATAGGCTAAAGGAGATATGTAAATGCTCTGAAGTAGGCTGTCTCTCACCACTTTGTAAAGCGCTAGGTGAACTAGTGCACATTTTTATGGTGTATTTTAACTCTTCAGAAGTGGCAGAATGCCTGTGACTGAGAGTGCTTCAGAGGTCCTGGGCACTCCTTGGTATGACAGCTGTAACTCAGCTCCAGTGAGGAAACCCCAGCTGAGCTTTGCCAGCTCACCAGGCACACACTTTTTGCAAACAGAAGGGAGCATGTGGACCATCCGGGAATCCATACACCAACAGGACACCCAACCTAGACAAGCAGAGGGCCAGAAACTGCAGCCTAGTATGCTATTTTCCAGCCTTTAATCCATACACATCCCTGAGAGACTCCTAAGTCAGTGCAGTGCTTAATGACTTCCCAGACCATGCAGCTAGTGCTGCAGTGACAGCATACTGCAATGGCTGTAATCGAGTGAAGATGGCTGCTCTCAGCTAGCCACCTGCAGCTCCTTCTCCCTGTCTCCCCTTGATGTCATTCCTCCCTCAGGTCTGCTGCTGTAAGTGTTGGTAACAGCTTCCTAAATGGGAACAGAGGCACAGGCCTGTTTCCAACAGATGTCTTTTGCACAATTCTTCTCCAGAAGGTACTGTATGGCTGGCTCACTGCAATTGCTCCTGTGTAGAACGCATACCTGTATTCAGCAACCCCTCCTGCATGCTTCTTCATGGCTGTATCAGAGCTCATTCCATAGAAGAGTTTCACCTTCTTGCCATTCTTTTCCATAATCTCTCCAGCACACTGGTCATGACCTGCAAACATTCCTCCAAGCATGACAAAATCAGCACCAGCTCCTGTGATCAGCAAAGTGATACAAAAGAAAGCAAGGAAGGGAAAAGAGGGTGAAAGACAAGTAAGAACATAGTGGCCTCCAAAAACAATAGCCAGCCCTAAATAGTCTGGTACAGAGAGTCCCCTCCTGAAACAGATGCAGCAAACTTGGAAAAAATGCTGTACTGAAGAACTGACACATGCTGAAATGTGTTTCTCTGGTATTTTAAATGGAGAAAATCATTTTCTGTTGTGATGACAAAGACAGTTTCTCCCCACCCAACTCCCTAGCCTGTCTAGGTCTTGCTGAATGGCAGCACAGCCTTCTGGTGTGTCAGCCACTCCTCCCAGTTTAGTGTCATCAGCAATGTGCGGAGGGCACACTGTTCCCTCATCCAGGTCGTTGATGAAAATATTGAATAGTACCAGTCCCAGTACTGACCCCTGAGGGACTCCACTAGTCACAGACCTCCAACTAGATTATGTCCCATTCTTCCTTTCAACCAGTTCATAATCCACCTTACTACCTGACCATCAAGAGCACACTTCCTCAGATCATCTACGAGGATGCTGTGGGAGACAGTGTCAAATGCTTTACTGAAATCAAGATAAACCACATTCTGTGCAAGCCAGACACCTGGATAGCTGCTTTCTTGACAGGGACCTCTGTCTGGCTCACCACTGTCCTCCTGGCAAGTTTTTCCCCGAGTGGATACCATGGCTGGGTCCCTTTCAGGGGGAGGACAATCACTAGCCGAGTTCTTACCTTGAGCCAAGAAGGGGCTCCACGTGCCCTGCCTGCACGAACTGCCGTGAAAACTGCAGTGCCAGGCCCTGTTTGCTGCTCCTGGTCACTGTGCTCCCCAGGGGCTGCTCTTCTACCTGAGGGGGTCAGGCCCTGTCCCTTCACCTCTGCCCATGGTCAGTCAGAGCTGCTGCTCCCCAGAAGCTCTGACTTCCCCCCCAGGGACAAGGGCTGGGACTGACTCCGTCCCACTCTCTCCATTTCTCTCCATCTCTCGCCTTCTCCTCCTTGGTTTCGCCGAAGCTTTCCTTGCCATTTACCCGCTGCAGAAGGGCTTCACCAGCAAGATCCCTCGCTCTGGTGTCCCTCACCTCAGTGGCTTCACCAAAGTGGCGAGGGAAGGCATAGTCATGAATCTACTGTACTCCTGACATAAATCAAGAAGATCTTTTAATAAGTGATGGATTTTTCAAGCCCATCACCTGTATGTGTTCAGTGCAGGTCTGAGTGACCCCTTGTCAAAGAGCTACGGATTGGTCTGCACTTGATTCTTGCTTAAAAACTCTGGGCCAAGCTACAATAGCTACAACTCCTAAATATGTTCCAGATACTGAATAACCACAGTGAATACTCAATCATGCCTGTTCAGTCTCTCCATTTCTCCTGGCTTTGCAAATAATGAAATAAATTCCACTGGGAGTAAGATCAGGAAGAAGGTTTTTGGAATCAATCTGGATTTTCTACCATGATTTCCAATATTTCCAGCTGGGCTGGAACTATTCCACCAGCATCTCCTCTTGTGATACTCTGGCATATCTAGTCTTGCTTAAAAAAAGTTTGGCTTTACTCTTTTATGAGCCTGTGGTGACCCACCCCTGAAACAAAGCATTTTCCTGTTCAGAAATTCAATGTGTATGTGTTAGAACAGGCCTCCCCTCCACCCAGCTTCTTCCCAGAACTGGCAAAAGAACTGGGCTACAAACCTCACTTCATAGAAAAACAATGAGCCTGAACTAACCCAGCCACATTATGAACATATCCGAACTTGGGGGAGATTTCAGCCTAGGTAAGTCTGGCATTACGATCTGCTCAGATCTCTGTCACTATCCAAACAATAGCAGTGGATCTTGAAACCTGAAGAGTACATGAAATCATTATCGAATCCGCTCAGCTTCTGCCATCTGTTTAAAAGCTCTGCAGACAAATCTGAATTTTGGAATATTTTTATTTTGGGGTACGTGACAACTGTGGAGTGTGCACTGATTTATAAAAGCCAGCTCCCTCCCTCCACCCCTTTGCCAAGGAGCAGACCCAGCAGCAATGCCCAAGAGCGGAGCACGCAGCTGCTCTGTTGACCTCACCTCCCTTGCCTGGTTGTTGTTTGAAAGGAACAGTATGTCCAGGGTAAAGCGATATTAAAAATAAGACTTGTGCAAAGCTGCTAAGCACATCACAAGCATTATTTACAGCCAGACACCCATTCAGGTGTCCAATCATGCCAGGTACCTGGCAGATTTTTCCTGAGCTCTCTTGCTTCAGATGGCTGAGTTTTAAAGCCTCAGTTTGACTCACATATGAAACTATCATTAAGCTGCCAAAAACAAAGGGAACACTCGTCCTTTAAGATATTCTCAATTACTGGTGTGGAGCTCCTGTGGTTACCTGGCACAACCTTGCTCTACTTTTGCAAAAAATAAGTAAGTACCCTGGGAAATTTAGTTGATGTCTTCTTCATGGGTGGAAGAAAAGATTGTGAGGAAGGAGGGATGGATTTGGGGTCAAGGTTTCCAAGAACAAGTCAAAGGCCTGCCAGAGGACATTCTGGACTCTTGGCCTTGTCAATTCTATCTCCTGATCCCCAGTTCTAGTTCTGTCTCCGGTTGTGGGTCTCACAGCCTCCAAATTATTAATGCAAAACAGTCACATTAAATCTACGCTTCAGAATCGTGGAATTTTGGTTCCTGTGCACTTAAGTATCTATGTATTATTTTTCTTTTGACTGGGTATTTTGGGAGGAAAGCAAGTATGTTTGAATTACAGGACTGAAACTCACCCAACTTGAGTAACTTTTGCAAACTACAACATAATTCATCATGGTCTTCCAGAAGAAGGGAGCTATGTTACAGCAGGCACAGCATGTCTAAACATTGGAATGACACATGCTTGCTGCCCTGCAAGCTCCAGGAATGACAAGCCCATATTAAATATGCTTTTCCAATATTCTCCAGAATTTTCCACCCTGCTTTGGTGTTGCAAAGATGCCTGAAAGTTTCAACTCTGTTCCACTACTTTTCTACCAGTTAACATCCAACTAGGAGGCTGTCATTCTTACCACGGTCTCTCTTACGCACAGCTTTTTGTATGACCATTGGTGAGGTTTGCAACACCCAGCTGAAGTCTTTCATTTTCAAGTACAGAGAGCATCGTGCCATCATTTTAGGTTGTGGGTGATTGGGAACATGTGGCAACAACCCCCTACATAATACAGGATATGATGGGCTGCATTGCATAGAAACATCCCAGTAGCTCACAGAGAGTTTGCTAGACCAGTTCTGTTTCTACACGATGCCACTTCAATGCATTAGCTTCCCTCTTGAGGCCTACATTGTATCTGGGCTGGTTTTGCTCATCACATTTCACAGTGCCTTCTCTTTCAAGCTGTAACAGAATATGTGTGCTGACACCAGCCCAATCTTGCAGCACTCAGACATTTCTGCTGGGTCTGGATGGCGTCCCTCAATTGGCTTTTGTATGCCTGATAATACAAGTTACTGATAACCAGATTGGCTCTGCACACGTTCAGCTGGAGTCAGCCTGGATTTGGAGCCTGGGCAGCCCTCCAGACAGATGCAGCCTAAGTTTGCCTGGAGCACAGCAGACCCCAGAGTCAACATTCACCTGTGCTCCAGCTGAGCCAGCAAGCCTTTGCAACAATAGGTACACATACAGACCTATTGGAAACATGAAAAAAAGCCAGTATGATCTGTCAGGTATATTTTGGAAACAGTTATGTCCCCAGTTGATTTTTCCACATGATTTTTCTTTCCTTCTCCTTCCCTGCTCCTGTATCTCTTCTCACCACTACTGTAAGGAACAGCATTACTGTGTTAAAGATCCTGGCATAGGATTCAAAAGGCACATTCTGTTCCTGGCTGTGTCACAAAAATATATGTGACCTCAGGCAACTGAACTTCGCATTTCTGTGCTTCGACTTCCCATCTTTAAAAGAGGAGACAGTAGTGCCTCCCTGGGGCGTTCTGAGAAATGTGTTCATGTTATCAGCCTTTCCAAGGGTGCAGTTATACAAACACTCAGAGAGCCCAGGACAAAATTCTTTCATGCTTTCTCTCATTCCTGTATCAAAACACCTCTTTTTTTCGTGATCAATCCACATCTTTTCCATTATCATCTCCCATAACCAGATGGCAAAGACTTCTTCAGTTTACCAAATCTATACCAGGTTCCCATCCAGCAGTTCCAGAATTCCAAGCCTCTCCCAAAATATCTGTCACTCCTGCCATTTTGGTCCCCACCTTCAGAGCTTCTCTATTCCTTGCCTTTTTTAATAGGCTTCTACTTTGTTTCCCCTCTGTCAAAATGCCCAGTCTGCCTCTGACTCTTGACACCAGGCAATAGTGTCATCTTCCACTTGTAAAGCTTTTCAGCATTTTCTTCATGGTTCAGAATTCTTCACTTGCACTCCATCCACTCTATTCCTCATGTTCTCATGAAATTTCAGATTCACAGAACTGTTTTAGTTGGAAAATACCTTTAAGATCATCAAGTCCAACTGTTAATGTAGCACACTGCCAACCAAGCACACCACTAAACCATGTCCCTTGACTCCTCCAGTCACATCTCTAGCCATTTGTCAATGCTAGTCTCCACATCTGGGACTCCCTTACACATTTTATTATTCAAATGGCTGCTCCATCACTGCTTTATAATGATCCACCAAAAGGAGCTGGTACAATCACTTTAATCAAAAGTCCTCTTTGCATCTCTTGTCCATGCTTTGTTCAGTCCTCCATCCCCAGGTGAAACTGTACATCTGTGTGTTTTAGTACCTGGTCTCTGCTATCCAATATATTTAACTCCTCCCTCACAAGAGGCTCTCATCAAGTACAGAGGTCTGTGCTAGACTATTCAGTATCAGTATCAAGATGCATGATTGTAAATGCTAGGCATAGAGGCTGTTTTCTATATGCTTCACATAGCCTATCACCTCAGTAGCATTCAGTAAACATTAATAGTAAGAACATTATCTAGAAGCTTACTTTGCCACCCACCTTTGACAAGGGCACACGTAGTCAGATGTTCACAGTGTGTCCACCTCAATTATACATAACAAGATATGAGAAGTTTATTGCCTCAGGGTAATCTCTCTCAGTTCTAGCCCTGTACCTGTGGTGCACAGGTCAGACTGATCTGTCTGGCCTACTGTGAGAGTAGATACTGCCTGTATAATCTCAGCTTTCTGATGCTCCTCTGTCCCAGGGACAACCCATGCTAGCCTTCAAACATGTACCACTGTGAATCCCAGCACCTCCTGACAATCATTAATGCCAGAAACTGCCCTGTTACAGGTTTCAAGCAAGTTTCTGCTCATTAAGCCCAAAGAGACTACAAAGACCTTTCAGACTTGCTATAAACATCGCAAACAAAAACATTTTGAATACTTTGAAGTTGCTTCCTGTTGTTCTAACTTCTGGAAACGCTCTTGTTGAAGAAAGGCCTTTTCCATGGGCCACGTTTCTGTGCAGGCATCTGGGAACACGGTGAGGTTGCAATCTCAGTTCACGAGCTCCCCACGACTACAATGCAAGAACCGGTCAAGCTGCGGAGCCAGACAAAGTCAGGCAGAACAACAGCCTCACTGCAGGTGGCATGATGTCAGAGTGGGCTGGGCTGTGGAGAGGTCAGGTGATTTTTTAATACAATCTTCTTAACAAAGAGGGTGGATCCTGCCTTTCAGCTATGTCAGAATCACCAAACTGGAAGTATCTATTCCCTATGTCACATGGCCCAATGGGTAACACAAGGGTGATGTGAAATCTTGTGACTGAGCAGATTCCTTGCTGGTAGCAATCACTCCACAGCAGTGCTTAACATTCTTTAATTAAGTCTTCCTTGTCACCTGACCTGTCTAAATTAAACAGGAGCTGTCTGCAAATTTAGAAGACAGATTTTTGTTTCAACCTCTCCAGGAGGCGCAGAGTTTTTCTTGGCAGGTCTCTAACCTAAGTTTAGGCCTGTCCCTGCTCTCCATGCTTGCAAGGCTTCTTGCCAAGCAGACATGCTGTATCATAATATGCCATCTCCTGTATCGTACCATCCTGATACCCCAATAGGAGAGACTGTGCTGTCCCACTGTGTTCTGGGTATTACCTCACTGTGACATCTCCAAAGGTCATTGTGGGGGGGATGTCAGACCTGTCAGACCAGGATGCATTCAGCACCTAGTTCACATATGCTGCTGCAACAAGGTTATGAGTGAGTGACAACCCTTAGCACCTCACACCAATGCAACTTTCATGCCCAACAAAAGCTACTCACAGATTAAGTTCTCTATTCTAGCACCAAGAGCTGGTGCAATTCAATGAAACTATTAGCATGAGAGCAAAATCTGTTAATAATTAACTTAGATGTTTTAGACATCTGTTCAACTCTAGGGATACAGTATAAATAAAATCTCATCTCTTCAACTGGACAGCTGATCCCATTAACATCTCTGGGGATCTGGCCTGCCTTTTTGTTTTGTTTTTCTATCCAACAAACATTCCACCAGCTTGTCATCCATTCAAGGCTCACGTCAGCCAGATATGGCAAAGTTACAGGCATCTTTGAACCCTACGCAGAAGAAACCCGTATCAGTTTTCTTTCTATTACAGTCCCAGTGGCTGTATCCCATGCACACCTAGCAGATAGTTTCTAAATAGGACTTCGACCACTGTATGGTTTGCACTGCAGAATTTGGACTAGCTGGTCCAAAGAGCAAATTAATGTCTGTTGTGTTAATTTCACTGGAGTCAACCACAAGGCCAAATGTAACCTATCACTGATTACACATTCAGGGTCAAACTGACTTCTGTGCCACTGCTGACGGTGCTGGAGGAAAGTGGGCTGTAAGGGGTGGCACTGCTCACTGTCCTTACCAAATGCTTTGGCGACATCTCCTGGGCAGCTGCATCCACCATCCTGCACAAAGAAAAGATGACAGTGAGTGGCAGGGGCCTTATTCAGGGCACCAGTGAGCACGGGTGCTCCAACACCTGCAGCAGAACAGCCTCTGATCAGGAACAGTGCAGCAGAGCTGCCTGTGCACCACTGGTAGACATTATCTTGGCTGAATTTTTAGGAATTATGTATTATCCTTTCTATTGCTTTCCTTCCTCAGGCTCATTTACCATATAGTCTACTGAGAGCACCCTTGATAAGTGCAACAATGCTAATTCTTGACTGCAATTTTCTAAATCCCGGAAACTGATTATCTGAATCATTCCCTGCCATTCAATGGAAAGCTATATCATGCAGAGCTACCACAGACCTCTACCTTAAACCACCAAAGACATTTAAAGTAGCTTTCTCAGCAGTTTAGAATATATTAAAAGGTCACAGTGGGAGGGGGTGAGGAAACAGACCATCAGATATGCTGCATTTTGATCTGATAGTATCTAAACAAATCGGGTAATCTAATCTTTGATAAGTGAAAATGAATGTCTCATACTCCTCACTCTTTGCTGTGGGTTTGGTAAAGAAACAGCAGCACACCGAGTTCTTTAGCATTTTAGATGTACGTGTTTCAGTTTCAGTGCAAAGAAGTGGCTGATGAGGGGGTTTTGGTTGCGGGGAGGGAAGTTACGTATGTGTGAGAGAGTTGCAAAAAAGGAACGGCATCATGTGCTATGGTTCTTGAGGTTTTGTAAAGGCCTGAGCATCAGATGAAAGATCATTCTACTCTACACAGTCATCATACCAAGAGGACTCCTCATTCCTTTGATGATCAGGGTCTGTTCCAGACTGACAACAGCTTTCCTGCTTTTGAGGCTGCTCCCTGGACTTGTGTGGTTACTTCATTTTGTTTCACCTCCCTGTTGGCAGACATGCATGGCACGACCTGCGGAGCACAGCCAGACACTTCAACCATCAGCCATTTCAGAGATGGCTTTTGCAGGTAGCTGGCAGTGGGTCTGACTGTTAAAACCTCTCTCTGAGCAGAAAAGGAGCCAGACGCAAACTGAGCAGGTAGATCCAAAAGTGAGTGGCCTTTCAAAAGGCATCCCACTGCAAACCCCGCCTAGTAGAAGTTAAAGGCTTTTATTCCATTTGCTGATAACCTCTAGCACATTATGCCTTTTGTTGAGCTAGACACTCTTGCTGTCAGCTCCAGAAAGGAGTGCTGGGCTGACAGCTGAATATCTCTCTCCTGCTAAGGGCTCGGCTTGTGCAATTCTCTCCCTCTGACAAGTCTGTCAGAGCCTGGAGGAGGATGTGAGTGTGTGTGCATGTCTCAGGGGAGGAAAAGCTGAAGTAGAAAAGGAGGTCTAATAATCTTCAAAGAGAGGTGTCAGGAATTTGCCTGACTCTTTCTGTCTGACTGTGATAAGCTGGCTATGGATGCTCTCCGGTAGATGGGTTTCAGTCTGTTCTTGTTGGGTGGCTCAGTGTCTGACTTTCATAATTAACCCAGTAGTGGCAGCGATGGAGAATTTATGCTTTCAGAAGTACCATGAGGATGGAGGCCTTACCCTGTAACCATTAATCAACGTTTTCAAAAAACAACACTTTGAATGTCCTCATACTACAAAATGCTGAGCAGATTAAGAGACTTTCCCAAAAGCTCATGAGTTATCATTAAGATAAAATGAACCAATGATGATGATTCGTAGCACTTATCTATAAATGTTTCCACCTAATTCACATAAGCAGGTAAATTTAAGGATTCAAAGAAAGGGAAATAAAAAGGTGACATCCTAAGCAGTAATGCCAGAAAATAATATATAATGAAGCTATACATATTGAAACACTTCATTCCATGTGAAAAAAGCACTCTATTTAGAAAACAAGACTCTGCTGCTGCTGAATTCAGTTTGGGAAGCTTCTGATTGCAGTTTAGCTAGTCCCAAGAGAGGCCTGGGTCTGGACTCAAGACAACTTGTAGAACTGCTAGGCTAGAGTCACGGAGCTTGTTGCAGGCTCAGCCTCTACCTCACAGCCCTAGGGGAAGGTATGTATACAAATCGCCCTGTGAATTCAGAAGAACTGGAGTTATTTTGAAGTAAGCCTACCGGTAAGGGTGGCCATGGGGCCTGTAAAGGACATTATTAGATGCAAATTATAGTAATTTTGTAACTACGATTTATGTTTCAAGGAACTTTTATAATAGAAAAACTGGATAACCAGCCCTTCTCATGGTATTAGAAAACGGGTATTTGTTATGCAGAAAATACAAGTACATGACGTATACTGCAGCAGAAATAATACATATGGTGCTTTATTCTGAGCTACATATGCTGGGCTTATTTCTGTGTGGAAAATGTTCTGCATGGAGGAAGAGATGATATGGCAAGTTGCTGGGTGAAGAACCTCTTAGTCATCCTTTCCACTGAAAGCTGATGGTCCATCACCCAGGCAGGGTAAAAGGGAAATAGGGATCTCTATTCAATGATAGCCAAATGATAGAAAACACACGCAAGGCTGCTTTCCATTCCCCACATTGCTGCCTTACTAGAATACGTGACTGCTTCTCTATCCAGCAGAGTAGTTCTCTGACCTACAAGAAAGAGAAACTTTATCTCAAGCAGAGTGTTTCTTAAGGAGCTCTCCTGCTAAATAGCTCCTCCACTGTAACTCACCGCTGCACCTTCTCAAGGCCAATGGATTAGCAGGAAT